TGTTGTTCATTTGCTAAAATTGCCTACAGCTATCAGCTGTCTTGATGTGTTATGCTTTGGCATGATGCTCGCGTGTATGATACTGAATGCTTGCTGCAGCATTGTGTCGTCTTCCCCCGAACACAACGCACCCTTATTTTGGCTGCACCTGACCTCAAATATAGCTCGCATACGTTCAATTTCAGGGTGCGTTATGTTCGGGGGAAGACGGTAGTCCGCAGATTGCCTTGCTGTACCATTTGGAGAATTTGGACCATTAACGAAAAAGGTGGTGAAAACACCGAATGCGTTAAAACGCGTATTTGAATTTGGAAAGCATTTAAGTGTTTTGGAGTATTTTTTGGAAAGTTTTTTAGGGTTTTTGAACTTTTTTTTTCAAGTTTTGTTTTCTTTTTCCTGGTTTTTTATTTTTATTTTATTTTTATTTTTTTTATTTTAATGTTTGTATTATGAGCCTGCATTGTTTGTTTCCAAAGTCTTCCACGACGTTGCTTGTGGCGATGCGCCGAAAAAAACACCGAATTTTTGGCCTCTTCCATTAACCATCTCTCACGCAAGCAGCAGTGCCTTTTCTGTCTCACTGCCCCGCCGCTTGGCTTGCTGCCTTGCTGCGTTGCTGCGTTGCTGTGCTGGCCTATTGATTGCCTTGCCTTGCTGGTGCAATCAGACTCAGGGTTTGGGCACAGGTCTAGGGATCGAAATTCTGTGTCTGCAAATGTCGGGTCTACTGGGTGAAACCGTTTCACTGGCTTGCTGCCTGCCTGCTCGCGCGCTTGCCTGGTCTTTTGGTGCCTTGTTCCCTCGCTGCTCACTGCGCTGTGCTGCCTTGCCTTTGCTGGCTTTCTTCCCTTGCTGCTCACTGTGCTGCCCTGCTGCTTGCCTTCCCGTTGCCTTGCTGCCTCGCCTTTACTTTTCTATCTGTTGCCTTTTCCATGTTGGACTGCCTGCTTTCTTGTGTTTGCTCATCAGCAGCAGGACTTGAAGCTGAGTTACGACTTATAGTCCTGTCAGACTTCGTCGGGTCCTTGGGAATAGTCCCTGTCTTTGGGAAGAGTCTTTTCATCTTCCGCTAGCAGTTCCTACCATTATCACCCAAATAGAACGCCTGGTCATGATAGCTTTACTTGGGGCAACTTTCACCCTTAGGCTAGCTACAGTGATAATATCCAGGCATTCTATTATGAAGGTGGCAGGTCCGGGAGCTCTATACCACAGGGTGTCTGGAGCTTTCATAGCATGATGATATGCGTCTAGTACCTGAAAACACACACCAACACACCAACACACAGACGCACACACACACACACACACACACACACACACACACGCACACACACACACACACACCAACACAGACGCACACAGACACACACACAACCACCCCATGAGTCAGTGTATGTCGATGGAACAGTCTGGCACAATCATGCTTTCTTTTGTGGAGTTGTGTATAGCGAACAAGACAACACACACACACACACACACACACACACACACACACACACACACACACACACACACACACACACACACACACACACACACACACACAGAGTTGGTGTGAGTAAAGTCGACCACTTTTCTCTCTCAGGGATGGGTCTCGCTAACTCTGGGCGATGTGGTGAGTCCTTATCCATCAGTCAATTGAATCCTGGGCAGACTGTCCGGGTTCAACCTCCTGATGAGTCGGTGAAAGTCCAACGAAACAGTCTGTTCGGTACAGTCATGCTTTTTTTTAGTGTATAGCGAATATGACAACACACACACACACACACACACACACACACACACACACACACACACACACACACACAGAGAGAAGATGCCGAGTCATTGAAGACAATAATAAAACAAAAAAACCCTCTGACGGGAATGTGTTTGAACTTGGGGTACAAACCCTAGCCCTAAACCCTAAACCCTAAACCCTAACCCGCCTGCCTCACCCGTCTTGAAACAGCAAACCACAAGGAATGATTGGTTTACCACATCCGTTGATTGTTTAGGCAGGAGTTGATGATATCCGCTGATCTAGTCGGGAGCCTGGATGTGCAGACGGGCAGTTTCCTGATCTGCACTTTGATGCGGTTGATGTCCAGGTACGTTCCGACAGGGGTGGGGTAGTCTTTCTTGATCGGTTTTTCTCTTCTTTTTGTTTTCTTTTAGCAGGGATAGTATTCTGCTCTTCAACTTACCGGGGGGCGGAAAAGGGAAAAAATCTTCAACGTACAATGAATGACTTGTATGAATGATTTGTGTGTGTTTGGGGTATGAGAGACTGCAGCACGGGTGGTGGTGCAGCATGCTGCAAAAAGTTGAGCAGTGTCAGGGCGTAGTCACGACCGTGGGCACGGAAAACGATGAACTGGCAAATGACAAACAAATGGCACAGAGAGAACAAAACAACAAACTGTGAAGCTGACTTGGAATGAGTGCGAAAACAACAGCGAAAGCATGGGAAAAAAAAACAAATAAGAGAAATACAAATGACCTAGGCTACCAGCCGAGCCGCCTGGGTCACCCTATTTTCCCGGCCGGCCCGGCCGTGCAAGGACTAGGGAAGGTCCCAGCCAAAAGAAAAAGGGAAAAAAAATCAAAAAAATCCGAAAAAAAAAAAATGTTATGCAGAAAAATAAACTGAACAACTTTTGCCCCATGGTCACATCGAAATTCTTTACCAAATTTAAAAAAAAAAATGAAAATTAAAAAATAATTTATTGTTTTTTTTCTTTTTTTCTTTTTGGCCTGGCCGACCCGGGCCACTCTGGTAACCTAGCAAATGACATGAAAAAGCAAGAAACAATTCAGCTGCGTGCCCAGCTCATATGGCGTACTATTCTTTCGCCTTTTACTGAAGAATACCGTGGGCTGAGCACACTGAGCAGCTTACAACAATTTATTTTTTATTTTTTATTTTTTTAAACAACAATTTTTTATGGCCCTTTGCTCCGCCGAAGGGCAATTTAAAAAAAAACACACGCAATAGAACGATCAAAGTGCTCAGATATACACGTGGATGGACACCCCTGCATCTGGCACTCCCTCGTCCTATGTTCCCTACCTTCTTCCCCCGAATACAACGTACGGTCATTATAGCTGTATTTGGGGTATCTTTCAGTCTAAATACAGCTAGAATGACCGTATGTTGTATTCGGGGGAAGAAGGTAGCGCGCAGTGAACAATTCAGTCTGGATTCATGGAACCCCCGGCTGCTGCACGCGCCCAACCGTCGCTTCATCGGTCCTCCACGACCGACGGCCCTTGTCTACATCTCCACTTGAAATCAGTGCGCAGCTTGCCATAGACCGTACCCCCATGGCCGATGCGCTTTAAGATTGTGCTTGGATGAACCAGCTTTGTGGAGATCATACTCATCCATCACATCGGCGTCTTCTTCGGCCCCAGATCACAACACCCAGTCATTATGGCTGTGTATATAATGGGAGTTTCAAGACAGATACAGATGTAGTTACTGGACAAACAGAGTTTTGTTGGGGGGGAAGACGAAAAAAATAGCCTGGAGATTACTTTCACTGTTTCACACCAGTGCAGGGAGATTACGGTATTTTACGCCTTTGGGCATTTAACTTTTTTGATGTTCCGGGCCAGCGGGCGGTTATTATTAATTTGGGCAGTTTTTTTAATCAAAGTCATCGGGCCTTACTGGGTTCGGACCACTATCGTCTTCACCCGAATAGAACGCCCGGTCATTATAGCTGCATTTGGCACAACTATCAGTCCAGATGCAGCGATAATTACCGGGCGTTCTATTTGGGTGAACACGATAGCGCCTGACAATTTCGGTTCACAAAATGCCGAAATTGCGGCCAGGAACGTCAAAAAAGTTAAATGACCAGATGAGTATTTGTAATTTCGTTCCAGCAGATTTAGTTAATGAAAAAGTTAAGTGATGTACACTGTGTACAGACAGCAGTAAGCTGTTCAGAGAAAATGATTTGTGAATCTTTTCCTTTCATCTTTGTTTTTTTTTTTTTTTACTTTTTGTCTAGGCTACCAGCCGGGCCGCCCGGGTCCCGGGTGGTCAGCCCGTGCAAGCACCAAGGAAGGTCCCAGCAAAAAAAAAAAAAAAAAAAAAAAAANAAATCCAAAAAATCCGAAAAAAAACTATGTTATGCAGAAAAATAAACTGAACAACTTTTGCCTCAGGGTCACATCGAAATTCTTCACCAAATTTAAAACAAAAAATAAAATTTAAAAATATTGTTTTATTTTTATTTTTTTTGGCCCGGCCGGGCAAGTGACCCCGGGCCACTCTGGTAGCCTAGCTTTTTGTTTGTTTTTTTTTTCGTTTTTTTTTTTAATGAAAAAAAAGAAATTGCCAATTGGACCATTTCTCGATTAATACCTGTCATACTTCGGCTTCAGGACATTTGAGAAATTTAAACTGGAACGATACACATATTATTAAGTTTTTGTGTTCTTCTTTTTTTCTTTTGTTTTTGGGGTAACTTCAGTAGAGTCACAAAAACGAGTTATAATTGCACTATGGGGCAAGATACAGTTTGCAATTGCACTTCAGGCACCGAACCTGGCCAGACGGCTGGGCTGTATACATTGCCCGAACTGCAATTCGAAACTGTATCTTCGCCCATAGTGCAATTACAACTCATTTTCGCGGAGTTTCCCCTTTTTTTTTTTATCAAAAGGGGTCCGACTCGGCGGCTTTTTTGAGATATCATCACTGAAACTGGCCGACCCCAGGTAATTCAGAATTATGTTGTTCTGGTCATCTGATTTGCATCTGGATTTGAACTTGTATCTGATTCATATTTCAACAGTCCAGTGGTTTACCAACAGAGCTACTAGGCTCATTGTTTTTACTTACTTCTTTTTTCCTTCCTTGAGCATTTTGTTTTTCTTCTTTTTTCCTGACTGAGTTCGGCTGTAACAACTGCACTGTTTTGTTGTGATGCTGTGATACAATAATAATTTATTCTAGATTCAAATTTCGAAGTGCGTTTTCATGGAGTCGCAGCTGGCACCCAGGACGAGGAAGAGAGCAAAGGTATTAATGAGGGATGATCAATTTGCCTCACGTCTCAAGGAGGCCATGTCGCCTCTCGAAGTGACCAGCCTGCTTCGTAAGGAAAATGAAGAGCTGTCGTTGGACGTACAGAGCATGCTTCATCGTCCTGAATTGCTTGACGTCACATTTGTCTGCATGGATGCCACAGAGGTGCGTGCGAATAGAGCGTTCTTGGCCAGTAGGAACGAGTACTTCTCGACCCTGCTTTATGGGGATATGAAAGAGAGTACGATGGAGCGAATCCCTCTTCCGGATGTGAAGGCCGCGAGTCTGGAGGTTGTAATCAGTTACCTGCATGGAAGTCTGACCGGCCGCTTCAGCGGCGACAGTTGCTGGGATGACCTCGTCGACACCTACCTGTTGGCGGAGCAGTATCAGGTGAATACCTTGCGCGAAAGGATCGTACGCATTGTCATGGTGCAACGCAATGCGAGGCACCTGGGAGCGCTGGTAAATTTGGCACTGGAGAGGCAAGCAGAAGGGTTGCTGGAGGTTGCGCTAACGGCAATGCGGGACGTTGTGGTGTTCGACTCAACATCCTTCCATGGGTGGAAGAAGGAGAGCATCGCGTACTTCCTCGACGAAGTGCAATGCCAACCGTACGTAACGGAAACACTGATTGCAGTGGCAGTACTTTCAGCATCATTCGCTAACAATAACGGGGTCAAACGTGAGAGTTCTCCCTCTCCTCGGGTGGAGGGTGATGCTACAACTACTGCTGAACCGCCCAAGAATGCAGCATCTTCAGCTGTACCCAGTTGTTCAGAAAGAGAGAGGCACGAGGGTGATGCTACTACGATTGCCGAACCGCTCAAGAATGCAGTGACGTCAGCTGGACCCAGTTGTTCAGAAAGAGAGAGACACCCCCAGGCCGATGGGGAGCAAGCAAGTTCCTTATCTAGGAAGGACTTGCAGGACATCTTTGAAAGTCACTTCAACCTTCCGTTTATCGAACCGTTCATTGTGGAGAAGATGATCGAGCCCTTACAAATCCTACGCGTAGAAACGCTCGCTGCGCTTTACAGACTGCAGTCCATCTGGTTTGCGGGCGGATTCGGAGGAACACTCCCTGCGTCGTTCCTGAAGATGCCATGGCGTTCCGTGATTCCGAAGCTGTTGCCTGCAGAGGTTGAGACAAGAGAACCTGGGATCTGTAAGAAGAATCCCCACATAAAGGTCTCGATTCCAACACTTTGGAGTGGTGTTCCCGTATCGAGTTTTCGTACCGAGGAGGAGCTGCCGCAACGAGTGTCCGCACAATCGACTGGGGTAGCGATAATGCGGGTACCTCTCTACAGTGGCAAACACATATGGCGAGTTCGTCTGCTTAACAGTTGTGCGCATTTTGCTGTGGGCACCGTTTCGACATTGTCCACCACCGAAGATGCCAATTTGAAAGTCGTTTCGCCACAAATTGTTGCGTGGTGGGCGTTGAAGAGTGACGGCAACACTCTTGAGGACCGTACAAAGCAGTTTGCAGCCTTTAATGATCATCGCCGATTGGTCGACAATTTCGATAAGTCTGGAAGTACTGTGGTGGTGATTCTGGACACAGAGGTGGGATCGTTGCATTTTGCGAACGATTTAGAAAGCTATCGCCGTCAAACAACTCGTGTCGGCTTTCAAGACCTGCGATGCGATGCTGCAATGTTCCCAGCCTTGTGGATGCAAGCACCGGGCTGTGCGGAGATCGAATGGATCGAGAGTCTGCCTCGTCCGTCGATCTCTGCGCCTGGTCAGAGCGGGTGTACTTCGCAAGTAAACAATGCCTCCAATTTAATAAACTTGCTCAGCCATGTTAGACAACAGCCCAACAACAACTAAGGCATGATCATGGTGGTGTGTGTGATGGTTCTTCTACTTTGGACTGCCACTTTTTCAAGACTTTTTGTTTCTCCTAACACATGGTATTACGGCCTTCCTTGAGGAAGACGGAAGGAAGAAGGAAGAAGGAAGAAGGAGGTGGCTTACCTGGGCTATGGGGGACTGTATCTTCACTCTCCTTGGGAGGCCCCCAGTGGGGGTAACGGAGTGAGGAAGACTCAAGAGGGTGCTGCAGGCTACGGTAGGTGGTGGAAGTGGAAGGGCTACGAGAGCTTCGCAATGTCCTTTGAACATCTGGGCTAGGTGTGGATGCTTCCGCCATAGCCAGAACTTCAACCAAGTAGCGGTAGGACGTGTAGTTGGTCAATCATTATGGTGACTTCTTCTGATGGCGACAGTAAGAGGGAGATTCAGACATTGACTGCGGTTCATTCGTTCATCGTTATTGTTATTATCAATATTGATTAATAAGATGTTGAGGGAGATGTAATCAACTCAGTTCATAGACATACAGCCGCGGGCTAGGGTTGTCGCTCTCGCTCAAAAAAGCCAGAAACAAGGGCGAAAAGTCGCGTCCCAAGTCTGAGAAATGTCTGAGAGAGGGCCTACGTGAGTTGGTTGACTCTTGGAGAATCAAGAGTCAGACCCAGCACGGGAAATGCAGGCCCAAAGTCAAAGTCAATCCAGTAGTCAGTCTCGGCCATAGATCATCAGATGCACATCAACGATTTTCCACAGGGTATCCAGAAGATTCTAGCCCCGACTGGGAAACGGTACCGCTGCTTCAAAGCTGCATCCAGGCCATCAAGATCTGGCAAATCTGAACCGTCAACACGGTTCAAGGGGAGACTGGTCCATGCCAGTCAACACTGGGCAATGCTACAGAAGACCAGCCAGGCCGCCGGGGAAGGCATTCTGCCTTGCGCTGGCTTGAGGCTACCGGTAGTGCTGCTGGAGTGTGATGTTGGCGCCAGATGCTGCTGGAGGGTGCCAGCCTAGAGGGATATTATGCTGGCGCGGCCATAGCCGCCATAGCTGTAGACAAGGTGATGAGTATTGGTGAGGAGGAGCATCAGGGCTGTGAGACTGATGGGAGACAAGGAAAAGCTTACCTGGACTTATCTGGCCTCAACACGTGTGTTCCAAATCTGCTACTTGTCTCCACGAAGGTGAGGAAGTGCTGCACCATCCTCCATATCTTATTGCTGACGTGGAAGGAGGATAGACACCCTGCAATGATATGCACAGTGATTATGTCAGAGAACGTCGGAGGGGAACGTGCACTGCTGAGGTGGCGATAGGGGAGAAGCCCGAAGTGCTAGTGGGAAAGGAGAGAGACATACATGTATTATTGGTTACTATTGGGTCTCTCCTCCACCTCTTCTCTGTCTTTTCTCTCCTCTTTCTCTATCTCTCATGCTCTTCTTTGATGAGACGATGCTCCTGAGCTGTGCATATAATCGAAACATGGACTTGTAATTGACTTCCAGGACTTCATGCTCTGCACTGCGTTCCGACTTGTATTGCATTGCTGACTCACTGCTCAATGTGACTGGGTTCATTACAGAGATGATGGGGGAGAGAGATGGTGGCAAGTTGCGGGAGGAGTGACATTGATTCCAACTCCTCCTCCTCCTCCCCTTCTTCTTCTTCTTTTTCTTCTTCTTCTTCTTCTTCTTCTTCTTCTTCTTCTGCTTCTTCTTCTTCTTCTTCCTCCTCCTCGTCGTCGTCGTCGTCGTCGTCTTCTTCTGCGTCGCCGTCTTCTTCTTCGTCGCCGTCTTCTTTGTCTTCTTCGTCTTCTTCTTCTTCTTCCTCCTCCTCCTCCTCCTCCTCCTCCTCCTGCTTCTTCTTCTTCTTCTTCTTCTTCTTCTTCTTCTTCTTCTTCTTCTTCTTCTTCTTCTTCTGTTGTCCATTCTTCTTCCTCCTTTGTCTGTTTCTCTTTTCAATCTCTCTCATGTTAGTTGCAATTGAATGGCATAAATACGCATAATTATTGAACGGCGCTGTCTCTTCTGAGTTTTGCAGTGTGAGATTTCCAGGATCATAGCACTGTTGTTTGCAACTGTCATGCCTTCTTGCTCTTTCATTCCCTTCATTGGGCCTCACTCCAGTACGCAACAGTCTACATGCATTTGGAATTTTGGATGCTTTCTGGACCCGATGCATTCAGGATAGTCCAACATTTCGAAAGTATCAGGTCCAGAAACTGTCGAAATGCATGTACAGTGTTGTGTACTGGAGCGAGCGAGTCCCATTGTACTTGGGTTTTCAATGTTGTTTGATCCCAGACTTGTCAGTGGAACTGTGGGACATCCAGTATGCCAGAACTGCATTTGGGTCTGTGCCATAGGTTACCTGACTGTACACCCTGTGCATGGTAAGGTAGACACAGAATGAATCGATGGTCTACGATTGGTCATTGCTGTTACCCTGCTACACAGACTTTTTTTTTTTTTTCTTTTTTTTTTTAAACACCCCCTCCAGTGCTACCGCCTTCCCCCGAACATAAGGCATATGCGTTGTAAACGAATACAACGCATACCGTGCGTTGTATTCGTTTACAACGCATATGCGTTATGTTAGAGTGAACGAGACCAACTTTGCCTGCACAAGGGGGTCGGGTCCAGGCTGAGTAGGCTCAGTTCTGGACCACGGCTGGGGGCCTCAGAGCCTTGGCAAAAAGGTCAAAGTAAAGCAGCGATGTGCCTTTCCATGTTCTGGGTCGAGTTTCATTTCCTTCCCCTACTTGGGCCCTTGCTCCACTCCTCAGCAAATGTGCAAAATGCGAATGAATCTTCCGCTAGACCGTGGACAAATACAACCCCTTTCTTTTTTGTCTCGGTGACCTCGGTAGTGCAGCGAGACCTTGGTGAGTGGCTTTCTTATTTTTCCACTTTCTTGGCCGTGCCAGATTCTTGGCTGTCAGAAGCGCCTTCGCACACGGAGAGAGAGAGCCCTATAGTGCTTGTCAGTGACCTGGAGGGCAGTTTCTTGCCTGAAGAAGAGCATAGGGGGCAGAGAGAGAGAGAGAGAGAGAGAGAGAGAGAGAGAGAGAATGGGCAGTTATCTGTGATTACGGGCCTGCACGGGCCTGTCCCGTTCACCAGGGCAAGAACGGAGCACGCGTTGACGTTTGGGAAAAGAAAGGTTNTGGACAAATACAACCCCTTTCTTTTTTGTCTCGGTGACCTCGGTAGTGCAGCGAGACCTTGGTGAGTGGCTTTCTTATTTTTCCACTTTCTTGGCCGTGCCAGATTCTTGGCTGTCAGAAGCGCCTTCGCACACGGAGAGAGAGAGCCCTATAGTGCTTGTCAGTGACCTGGAGGGCAGTTTCTTGAGAGAGAGAGAGAGAGAGAGAGAGAGAGAGAGAGAGAGAGAGAGAGAGAGAGAGAGAGAGCATGGGCGTCGGGCAGTGATCTGTGATTACGGGCCTGCACAGGCCTGCACGGGCCTGCACGGGCCTGTCCCGTTCACCAGGGCAAAAACTGAGCAGGCATTAACCTTGGGAAAGAAAAAAAGGTTATATTCGAATACAACAATTTTCTCTTTGTGAAATTCAAAAATAACGCATATGCGTATTATTTGAATAGAATGCATATGCATTATATTTGAAGTGCCCTTGTATTCGAAGAAAAGGGTCTAACTTTTCAAAAAGCCGTTTTTTTGGAAAACTCGAATACAACGCATATATGTTCTGTTCGGGGGAAGACGGTAGTGGTGCTGGTAATGGCAGACACCGCTAGCACCGAGGGAGAGGCTCCATCTACTGGTGGGAAGCATCACCTGCTGGAAAGCAGGTCCAGCGTCCCTCATATACAGAATGAAAATAGAGGTACACCTGCCAGCATTGATTACTCTGGGATCCAGAGGATTGCTGAGCAGGGTATATAGAAAAACAGGGGAGGGAACCTCTTCGCCCCATGCCGGGCGCCGGATATCTGCTGCTATAAACTAGTTCCTCCTCCCCCCTTTGACTGTGTGCGTCGTGAGGACAGTGAGAAGGGCTATACTCGTTTGAGGCCGAATAAGGTAGTGAATGAAGGATGGAAGGAGGGCTGGGGAGGAAACCATGACAGGTTTCAGATGGCAAGGCAAAATTTCCGGGAATCATGGCCACAGTCGCCCAAATGACGCAGCTTGTTTGCCAACACCTTTGCAATCTACCTGCTGCTGTCCTGCTTACTCCGCTCCATACCATTGCATGTCCACCATAGCTAGTTGGTGGGGCGGAAAAGGATCGGGAAAATTCGAGGGTGGCCGTAGTGGGATTCCTTGACCCACTGTGTCCAATCTCTGAAGCAGATCTGATAGTCCTTCTTGATCGTCTCCCGGTTGCCATCCTGAGTGCCTTCATTGCCTTCCTGGGCGCGACTGCCATCCCACTTGATGAAGGCGATTCGGCCCCCATTCTCGCCACCCAGCCAGTCCCCTGAGAATTGTTGGATTGTTTGTTTTACATCTTTCTGTGTTTGAAACAGATCCAGCTGATTTTTTACTTTCTGCCATTGTGCCATAAGTTCTTGGTGTATACATTGTTTAATCATGTCTGTCATTTCCTCCCCGGCTATGCGGACCTCTTCCACGACGTGTATACACCGTCTCCTCGAGATGGCCCACATGACGGTCCTCCTCCCTATCTTAAACATATTGTTTTCAAAGGTGCTACGCGAGGGGGAGGTCCATGCCTCACTTAGTATCGCCCTCCAGTCCCATGGCCAGGTCGATCCAATGTCCAGCAGGTTCCAGATTCCGTCCCATCATCGCCATGTTAGGACAGCCCCCGGACATTGCAAGAATATGTGTTCTATGGTTTTCGGGATCTTGCGGGAGGGGAACGTCGTGTGGCACAACTTGCACCATGGGAGCGCCAGTCCTTTCTGTTCCAGGTACGTGTGATCTATTAGCCAGTCATTGGTGGGGAGGCAGGGGTGTTCTATCAGACTACGACAGACTGTATGTACATTGGTCATGGCAGACATTGATATTATTTAGCTTAGGCTACAACATTTGGCGTGTGTACATTTTGATCATGGCTTTCTGAGTGCCTGTGGCTTGCTGGGTTATAGAAGGCTGATGTAGTACCCTTCTTTTCACTTTGGGCGAACGGTCTGAGACTCTTGGGAATGGCTTAGTCCCAAGTGCACCGACCATTACGGTGCCGTTGATAAACCTGAATAATGTGAGGGACGTTGGGCCCTTTTCCCAACACTGTAGTCCTAGACTCCCTTTTTTGGGGGGGAAACTATGGCGCAAGGGTGTTGAGTTTGAAAATGCACTGGAGGCACGATTTTCGCACATGTTGTGCGAAAACGCAAAAAATGGTGGATGTATACAACCTAGTTTTAGGGTCCAGTGACTGCAGCGTGCCTCTAGCTGCCCTGTCCTAGAGCCAGGGCTATCTGGCTATTTTACCTGTTCAGCCTGTGGGACCAGGCCGTGGTCTGACCCCACAGGCCATGTGCTCATTCAGTCTAATCTTGTCTTGCCCGGTATCACTGTCGGTACCAGTCCATTCCAGTCCAATTTAGTCAGTTTTCTGGGGGTACACCCCAACTGCAGTGTGTTTCAGCCTCATTCTTCACTTGCACAATATTTCACCCCAGCTGTAGTCAGTTTCAACCTCATTCTTCACTTGCACAGTTTGGAGTACG